TTTATAATGGCTTCCACTTTACTGGGGTCAGTTTTAATACCTTCGCTATTTATAATATAACCTAAATAACGAACCTCGTTAACTAAAAAAAACACATTTGCTGGATTTTAGTTTTAAACCAGCGTTGTGTAGTCTTTCAAAAACCTCCCGCAACGCTATTAAATGCTCGAGCATTGTCCGCCCCCCGATTATGACGTCATCCAAAAATATTTCTACGTGTGGAATGCCTTGCAACACGTTGCACATAATACGTTGAAAAATTCCCGGACAAGATGCTAACCCGTAAACTAGCCTATTGTACTGGTACAGGCCCCTATGCGTATTCACTACCGTATATTTCCTCGTATCGTCTAATTCGATTTGATTGTACGCTTGAGACAGATCAATCTTCGAAAAGTAACGTGCCCCACTTAACTTAACCATTAAATCTTCGATACGTGGCAAAGGATATCTATCCACCTGCAATACCGGGTTTAATGTAGCCTTATAGTCCGCACAAACTCTCAAGGAGCCGTCCGCCTTGTTTACCGGCACCAGCGGCGAGGCCCAGTCGGAGCAGTCAACGGGCTCGATGACGCCGTCGCGCAGCATGCGATCCAGCTCGGCGTCGACGCGCTCGCGCAGCGCGTACGGCAGTGGCCGCGCACGGTGGAACACCGGCATCGCCCCCTCCCGCACGTGCAGCGACGCCTTGCCGCCCGTAAAGCGACCGAGGCCGCCGCTGAACAACTCCTTATACCTAAATAATAATTTATCTATCTCAGTCGACCAATTTAATTTACCATCGTCCAAATAGTTGCAATTGCTAAAAATCGGGACTTTAATATTAAGTTCCGAAAGCCATTGTCGCCCTAGCAACGAAGTATTACCGCCAGAAATAATAAACAATTCCAGCCTTTATTTGTGGTCACCGTAGTGGACCATTGGCTTTATCCAACCTAGCGGCTTAACTTTGGAGCCGTTGTAAAAATTAAAAACTACGCTACTATGTTGAATTCGATAATGCTTAAAATATTTGTCAAATGTATCCTTACTGATACACGATACAGCTGACCCCGTATCAACCTCCATATTAACCATTACAGAATCTATTACTATGGGACACTGACCGGCTTGTATTTGTTGAATCGAAGGTGATGGAAGTCCAGTGCCGCTGTATTCATGCCTGCTCCCGCTCCATTGTAGCTCCGCTCAACATGGTCGGCGCCGTGACGCTCCCCGCGCCCCTGGCCGCCGCTCTCGGGACACGCACGCCG